TATTGATTTATAGTGTTTTTTAGTGTATCTTTTTATGTTGTTTTCTTATTGGTTTCTCTAGGAATTACATTATACATACATATAGATCACAGTTTATTTGTGTCATCACTTTGCCAGTTTCAGTGAAAGGTAGCAGTCTTACCTCTATGTCTATTTATTCTCCCCCATTTATATAATTGTCTTGATTTTTTCCAGAGCCATTTAAAACTATATCAGTGTTATATTTTTTGCTTAAACTGTCAAATATGATTTAAAAACCCAGGAGGAGAAGGAAAGTCTATTGTATTTACCCAGATATTTTGCTTATCATGTTCTCTCTTCCTTTCTCATGTTCCAAGGTTACTTCTTTTATCATTTCCTTTTTGTTTAATAAACTTTCTTTAGCCATTATTTAGAGTAGATCTGCTGGTAACAAATTATTTTAGTTCCCCTATATTTGAGAATGTCTCGATTTTCCCTTCATTCTGAAGGATATTTTCACTGGATATAGAAATGCAGGTTGAAGCTGGATGCAGTGGCTCATGCCTGTAATCCTAGCACTTTGGGAGGCTAAGGTGGCTGGATCACTTGAGGTCAGGAGTTTAAGACAAGCCTGGCCAACGTGGTGAAACCCCATCTCTATGAAAAATACAAAAATTATCCAAGTGTTGTGGCACACATCTGTAGTCCCAGCTACTCGGGAGGCTGAGGCAGGAGAATCGTTTGAACCCAGGAGGTGGAGATTGCAGTGAGCAGAGATCACACCACTGCACTCACTCCAGCCTGGGTGGCAGGGTGAGATTCCATCTCAAAAAAAAAAAAAAAGGAAATGTAGGTTGACAGTTCTTTTATTTTAGTACTTGAAAGATACTGTACCACTTCCTTCTACTCTGTTTCCTAATGTGAAATCCTGTTATTTGGTTGTTTTTCTCCTGCCATAAGGTATAATTTCTTTTTTGATGCCTTCATAATTTTTTCTTTGTCTTTAGTTTACAGAAGTTTGATTATATGTGTCTTGGTTTGAGTTTCTTTGGGCTTATTCTGTTTGGAGTTCACTCAGCCTCTTGAATCTCTAGGTGTATGTCTTTTGCCAAATTTGGGGTGTTTTTAGCCATTATTTCCTTGAATACTTTCTTAGCCCTACCCTCTCTGTTCTCTCCTTTTGGGTCTTCAGTAATACCAATGCTAGATCTTTTGTTAAAGTGCTACATGTTCCAGAGGCACTATTTATTTATTTATTCTATTTTTCATTTGTGTCAAGTGTGCTTGTAATTGCTCTTTGCATTATTTTTATGATGACTGCTTTAAAATTTGTGTCAGGAAATTTTGTCTCACGGTTCATCTCAGTGTTGGCATCTAAAGATTATCTTTTTTTACTCAGTTTAAGATTTTCCTTGTTTCTAGTGTGATGAGTGATTTTTTTTATTGAAACTTGGACATTTTGGGTATTACGTTATGACTCTGTATCTTATTTAAACCTGATGTTTTAGCTGGCTTTTTGGCCACTGCATTGGCAAGGGAAGGGGGTGGGGTGATCCCTCATTACTGCTAGGTCAGCATAGAAAGTCTATTCAGCCTCTGTTGACATCTCGGTGGGGGGAGGTGTTCTTTATTATTGCTGGGTGGGGTGGGAGTTCAGGCTCCCCACTAGGCCTCTGCTGACACCCCAGGAAGAGGATGGCATAAATACTGCTGAGCAATGGTAGAAGTCCTGACTCTCTACTAGGCTTCTTCTGATACTGCCCAAGCAAGGATGAGGGCTAGAAGTGCAGGTTCCCTATGTGGTTTCCTCATCACTACCCAGCAGGGATAAAAGGACTAGCTCCATATTTGGCCTTCTCTGAAGATATCCCAGTGGATGAGTGAGGGCACATTGTTATAGCCTGGCAAAGGTGGAATTCTAGGCTCCCCAGTTGGCCTCTACTAGTATGAATGAGGATGGTGCTACCCTCCTCCTATGGTGTTTAGTCAGGGCAGAGCAGCTTCTGTCTAAAAGTTTTCTCTTTTCCTGTGTTTCTCCTTTCTTGGCTCTTTGGCCAGATAGAACAGCTTTTGTTAGGCTTTTTTTTTTGGTCTACACTTATTGATATTTCCAAGTGCCATCTTCTGCAAAGTCTGCTCCTTTCAAAGAAAGTGCCACCTTTCAAAGTCCTCTTATGTTTATTTCATATATAATGTCCAGAGTTTTTCATTGTACTTAATAGGAGGAGTAAGGAAAAGCATGCCAACTCCATCTTCTTGGAAGCAGAAATTTCCAAGTTTTAAAGACTTGTTGTTAAATCATACCATACATATGGAAAAGGACACATATATTAAGCATACAGGACAATGAAGCTTTACCAACATTATACCCGTGTAACTAGAACCCAGATCAAGAAACAGAACACAACCAACACCTTTCAGAAACTTCCGTATGTTCCCTCTGATCACAAGCCCCCCACCCTTGCAAAGTTAACCACTATCCTAATTTCTGCCAGTATAGATTAGTGCTCTCTATCTTTGTGCTTTATATAATGGGCCCCTTTAAAACATGTAAATACCCCTGGAAGATTTAATGTCTTAAGATGTCATTGACCAGTACCTTACAATGAATTCATTTGTCATATAATTTGACTTATGTTTAATAACAATTCATTTATTAATATTATAAAACACATTAAAGTTATAATAACCTTTCTCATGCTTCATGTCATTTGATTCTTACAAATGCCTATGAAATAGATTGTATTATTAACCTCATTTAAGGTGAGAAAATTGAGGCTCAAAGAAGTTAAACTGTTTGTCTAAGGTCACCCAAGTAACAGGCAGAAAGATTTGGCAGCCCCAGAAGAAAGGGACCTTGTTTGTCCACCTGTCCATGTATCAATTTTAGAGAAGAATCTGATTGGCTCTAGTTTAGTCTTCCAACGATTAAATGTCAAGGGCGGGAAAGGACACTGATTGGCCTACCCACCATAGTCATGTGGAGTCAGGGAGGGGATCTTCAAGTGACCCAGAGGAAGGATTGAGAAAGTAAGCTAGACAGACAAAACCTCACTCACCACAGTCCCCAGTGGGAACAAAAACAACTACTCCTATTTCTTGATGTTTATGGACATGTTAAAATAATCAAAACTTCTGTGTCTTTTTTTCTGCCTCTTTCTCTGTATTCACATAGGACTCATTTTAACAGTTTAGAATCACATTTTGTATAATCTGGAATGAAGTGGAATGGAAGAGACTATGTATCTTCTTAGTATATAGAAGAGGGAAAGGAGGCTGGTAAGGGAGTGTTTTGTCCAATTTCATATATATACTTATTTTATGTTTTTCCCTTCACTTTCATGTATCATAAGAATAACTTCATGAAATTAACAATTTAAGCCGGGCTTGATGGCTCACGTCTGTAATCCCAGCACTTTGGGAGGCCAAGGTGGGTGGATCACAAGGTCAGGAGTTCCAGACCAGCCTGGCCAATACGGTGAAACCCCGTCTCTAAAGGAAAAAAAAAAAAAAAATAGGGCCGGGCGCGGTGGCTCAAGCCTGTAATCCCAGCACTTTGGGAGGCCGAGGCGGGTGGATCACGAGGTCAAGAGATCGAGACCATCCTGGTCAATATGCTGAAACCCCGTCTCTACTAAAAATACAAAAAATTAGCTGGGCATGGTGGCGTGTGCCTGTAATCCCAGCTACTCAGGAGGCTGAGGCAGGAGAATTGCCTGAACCCAGGAGGCGGAGGTTGCAGTGAGCCGAGATCGCGCCATTGCACTCCAGCCTGGGTAACAAGAGCGAAACTCCATCTCAAGAAAAAAAAAAAAAAAAAAAACAACTTTGTCTCAAAAAAAAAAAGAGAAGAAATTAACAATTTAATGAAAAAAATTATTCTCTAACCCCAATGCCCCAACATGTGTCTTCCAATCTTCGTCAAGTTATCTATTTGTGTATATCTATATACTTACATATAAATGCCATGAAGTCTGGTTAATTTCTTATGTTTTGTAGGAACAGGGTCTCGCCATGTTGAGCAGGCTGGTCTCAAATTCCTGGCTTCAAGTGATGCTCCCACCTTGGCCTCCCAAAGTGCTGGGATTACAGTGATGAGCCACTGCACTCAGCCACTCATGGATTGTTTTGATCTCAGCAGAAAATCATTCAAAGCAAAACCTCTCAGGGACATCACTATTTGAGAAAGAGACCCTTTTAAAACAGAAAAGTGTTCCTGAACTGGAGACGAAGCCTGCTCTTAGAAGGCTCCCTACTGACAGATGGACTTTGCCATAGTGCTGGTGTTGCAAAGCCAGTAAGACAGTCTCCACCCGCAAAGAGCTCAAGTTCCTGGCTTCATTTCATGCACCTTTAGTAACCTCCAGCTAAATGCAGGCTGCCCCACCTCTGCCTGGAATAATAAGGGTTTCTTGAACTCTCCATCAATAGGTCCTGTCAGACAAGCCATCTGTATCATTCCGGGTCCTGGCAGGAAACAGATGGCACCCTCAGATTAGGTAAATTGAGAAGAGTTTAATAAAGAGACTATTTACAAAGGAATATCAGGGTATAGGGAAACCACAGGCCAGAAGGCGCAGAAGGAGGAAGCAATCTCTGGAAACTTGACAGAGAAAATCCCGTGAGGAGGGCCTCTTGACAGGAGCTGTAGCTTTTGGTCCAGGGACACAGCCAGCCAGCTCTCAAGGAGGTATTTGGGGGAAATAAATACTCTGACCTCTCTCCTCTTGGTTTCCCACCTCCTGCTGGCGGCCAAGGTCAACTGGAAGGCAGAGGGCATAGGAACCCTTTGATGGAGTTCATCCAGGCCCGCCTCTAGGAGCACAGAGTGGGTGGAGAAGGGTGGGGTGGGTCTGAAGGGGTCAAAGGAAGCCATGTGTTCCGCCACGTGGTCCACCATGTGAGTTTAGAAACACTGTACTGCAGTTCTCTGTCCAGGTTGGTTGCTCTCAGAACTTCTGGTAGGGCTGGGGGTGTAGGTGAGGGGGGTTGGCATAGCCTCTTCCTTACTATTTCTAGCAGGAGGTAGGGCAGCTTACCTAGTCCTCTTCTGCCTGGGTTGTGGGCTTTCTGTTCATCTCCACTGCCCACAAAAGTCAGTGTCATCCTCAAAAGAGGATGTCTGCTCTGAGCCCCAGCCTCTAGGCAGGGGACTACCTTCCCATACCTGTCCTGCCAGCTTGCTTGCTTGCTTGCTTGCTTGCTTTCTCTCTTTCTTTTCATTCTCTTTCTCTCTTTCTCTCTCCTTTTTCTTTTTCTCTTTCTCTCCCCTTTCTTTCCCTCTTTTTCTTTTTCTCTCGTTCTCTCTCCTTTCTTTCTCCTTCCTTCCTTCCTTCCTTCTTGATGTAGTCTTGCTCTGTCACCCAGGCTGGAGTGCAGTGGCACAATTTCTGCTCACTGCAGCCTCTGCCTCCCAGGTTCAAGCTATTCTCCTACTTTAGCCTCCAGAATAGCTGGGGCTACAGGTGTGCGCCACCACACTCAGCTAATTTTTGTACTTTTAGTAGAGAGAGGGTTTCACCGTGTTGGACAAGCTGGTCTCAAATTCCTGGTCTCAGGTGATCCTCCTGCCTCGGCCTCCCAAAGTGTTGGGATTACAAGCATGAGCCACCGTGCTCAGCCATGCCAGCCCTATTTCTTGTCCCCGGCCGTGCCTTGAAGGGCTAGTTGCCTCTACAAGTGGACTGCTACACACCCTCAGCATTGCCAGTCCACAGGATCATTCACAGCCCCACCTGGTTCCCTCAGGTTCCCCATGGCTACCAGAAGGCAGGACACACAACCCCTGTGTCTGTGAAGACTTAACCTAGGCCACTGGCCTACCTGGGGTCCCTGTGCTCACCCCACCTCCATGCTTCAGCTGGCCTTTGCTCCCTCTCCCACTGGCCAGCTCAGTTCCTCTTTATTCCTAGCCTGTAATATAAGATGGGCTGCAGTAGAAGCCCCTTCCTTTAAAGATAAAAGTTAACCAATGTGCAATTTAATAAACCAAGATGTTAATCTATAATCAGAAACCTAAAGACACTGGGTTCTTGTAGCTGCTTTACTGGAACTATCTCTCCATGTAAGACATGAGGGAAGTTAAAGGAAGATTGGGAGGCTGGGTGTGGTGGCTCCTACCTATAATCCCTGCACTTTGGGAGGCTGAAGCAGGAGGATCACTTGAGGCAAGGAGTTCAAGACAAGCCTGGGCAGTATAATGGGACCCTGTTGCTACAAAAAATAAATAAATACAAATAAAGGAAGGTTTGGGGGGCTAGAGCCGATGAGACTTTCTTTTTACTCTTATCCAGTTTTACTATTTAAATGTTGCTTTTAAAACCAAGTTTATATATTACTTAAATTTTTTTTGAAAGGGATTCTTGCTCTGTTGCCCAGGCTGGAGTGCAATGGGGCGTTCTCAGCTCACTGCAATCTCTGCCTCCCAGGTTCAAGTGATTCTCCCGCTTCAGCCTCCTGAGTAGCTGGGACTACAGGCATGTGCCACCACGCCCGGCTAATTTTTGGTATTTTTAGTAGAGACGGGGTTTCACCGTGTTAGCTAGGATGGTCTTGATCTCCTGATCTCGTGATCTGCCTGCCTCATCCTCCCAAAGTGCTGGGATTACAGGCATGAGCCACTGTACCCGGCCTTATTTTTTTTTTTTTTTGAAATGGAGTTTCACTCTTGTCGCCCAAGTGGGAGGGGCAGTGCTGCAATCTCAGCTCACTGCAATATCTGCCTCTCAGGTTCAAGCAATTCTCCTGCCCCAGCCTCCCGAGTAGCTGGGATTACAAGCGTGTGCCACCACGCCTGGCTAATTATTTTGTATTTTTTTTTTTTTTTTTTTTTTGGAGACAGAGTTTCGCTCTTGTTACCCAGGCTGGAGTGCAATGGCGCGATCTCGGCTCACCGCAACCTCTGCCTCCTGGGTTCAGGCAATTCTCCTGCCTCAGCCTCCTGAGTAGCTGGGATTACAGGCACGCGCCACCATGCCCAGCTAATGTTTTGTATTTTTAGTAGAGACGGGGTTTCACCATGTTGACCAGGATGGTCTCGATCTCTTGACCTCGTGATCCACCCGCCTCGGCCTCCCAAAGTGCTGGGATTACAGGCTTGAGCCACCGCGCCCGGCCAATTATTTTGTATTTTTAGTTGAAATGGGGTTTTACCATGTTGGCCAGGCTGCTCTCAAACTCCTGACCTCAGGTGATCCACCTGCCTTGGCCTCCCAAAGTACTGGGATTATCAGCGTGAGCCCCAACACCCGGCCTACTTTAAAATTTTTGTAACTATATTTAAAAAAAGAATTCCAGCTAATTGTAACCAGTAACTCTGAGTGGTATAGATAATAGAAGCGCCGTGCACATTGCGGGCACAAATCACAAAACATGGTAAGAAGGGCAAGGCCACTGAAGATGGATTTGAAATTTCTGCTCAAGGTAAACCTTGCTTCAGTGAGAGTAGAACCATGTATGTTTCCCTGGTTATGTGAGGAGTTTGTGTGGAAACCTGAGTTAACTACTACGGCATGTTTGATTTATTTCCATAATGGTCTGGCATCCTGCAGAGGTAGGTGCTCTGGGATGCGGTCCAGTTGGCTTGCCCCTACCTGGCTCTCACTGTGTTTTTACCATTTGCTGGGAGATCTCACTGCTGCATTGGAGCTTCCATATGTTTCATTTAATAACTGACATTGAGGACTCACAGGCAGAGGAGTTGGTATTTTTACTTTGGGGTCATTTAGATATTTGTTGAGAATGAGGGCTGGGAGCAGTGGCTCACGCCTGTAATCCCAGCACTTTGGGAGGCCGAGGTGGGTGGATCACTTGAGGTCAGGAATTTGAGACAAGCATGGCCAACATGGTGGAAACCCAGTCTCCACTAAAAATACAAAAACTAGCTGGGTGTGGTGCCATGAGCCTGGAATCCTAGCTACTCAGGAGACTGAGGCAGGAGAATCACTTGAACCTGGGAGGCAGAGGTTGCAGTGAGCCGAGATCAGGCCACTGCACTCCAGCCTGGGCAATAGAGCGAAACTTTCTGGAAAAAAAAAAAAAAAAAAAAAAAAAAAAAAAAAAAAAGCCCATTCCTAACCAAAACTCTAAAGCAGGTAGTTTGCGTCTGCTGCCCTTCCACCTTCACTACCCCACCTACCTGGGAGGTCCATCCTGGGGACACTGGAGTAAAATTATGAGCAACCATAGGCCTATGCTGAGGGCTTATGGAGAAACTCACCTCTTCCTCCCTCTCCTCTTCATCTCGCTGAAGCTCTGGGTACTGGCCTCCCAAGGTGAACATAAGTAAGAGATTCTCAATTGTTGGTTGAAACTTAAACCCAGCTGGCTTCCTGAGCTGAGGGAGATGTTAAGATATGTAAGAGATTTAACTGTTAACTAGGGATCTCTGTAGATTTGTGTGAGGAATAATAACTCAACTCTATAATAATCTCCAATAAAGCTTTGAAAAACAAGACCAGGAATAACTTACTAGTATCTTGCCCTAATGGATATTAAAATGCTCTATAAAGCTAATGTAATAAAAAAAAAAGTAGGACATTGGAGAATAGAGCAGTCAAATAGAATAGAGAAGAAAGAAATAGATTTTATCGGAACTTAGTACAGTATATAATAAACGTGGCATTTCAATTCAGTAATGGCTTATTTAACAAATGGTGCTAGAATAATTGCCTAGCACATGAAAAATACAAAGATAAACTCCTATTTAATTCATGTTTAATTACAGAAGCTACAAAGACAAAGTAAAAAAATTATAGTATTTATGTAATATACAGCTAGGGAGACCTTAAATAACACAAGAAACTCAGCATAAAAGAATAAAAACAGATTTGATAATATTGACAATTAAAATTTACCAGTGGCACAAGACACCATGAAAAGTCAAAGGACAACTAAGATGCTGTGAGAAAATAGTTGCAATTAATGACAGATAGAGGATTAATATCTATAATATTAGAATTAATATTAATATTTATAAATTTTTTTTGAGACAAAGTTTCACTCTTGTTACCCAGGCTAGAGTGCAATGACACAATCTCAGCTCACCGCAACCTCTGCCTCCTGGGTTCAAGCAATTTTCCTGCCTCAGCCCCCCAAGTAGCTGGGACTACAGGCATGCACCACCACGTCCAGCTAATTTTTTTGTATTTTTAGTAGAGACGGGATTTCACCATGTTGACCAGGATGGTCTCGATCTCTTGACCTCGTGATCCACCCACCTCGGTCTCCCAAAGTGCTGGGATTACAGGCTTGAGCCACCGCGCCTGGCCTAATATTTATAATATTAAGTTGAACTATATAAAGTTGCTGATAGTTAACTGTTTTTGATCAAAAGAAATGACAATTTTGATGCCAACCCAACACATAGTGCTTCTATATATTGATAAGAAAAAGACAACCCAATAGAAAAACGGTGAAGACTGTAAATTATAAACAGGTGATTCATAGAAAACAAAATACAAATAGCTGACCTATAAATATGTGAATATATATGTTAAACTCACAGAAGAATGACTACTATTAAAATAAAAACAGAAAAGAACTCGGCAGATGGCTACTATCAAAAAAACAGAAGATAACAAGTGTTGGCAAGGATGTGTAGAGATCCTTTGTGCACTGTTGATGGGAATGTAAAATGGTGCAGCTGCTATGGAAAACGGTATGGAAGTTCCTCAAAAAATTAAAAATAGAATTACATATGATCCAGCAATTTTACTTCTGGGCATACACTTCAAACAATTGAAAGCAGAATCTCAAAGATATAGTTGTACACTCATGTTTATAGCAGCATTAGTCAGGATAGCCAAAAGATGGAAGCAACCTAAATGTCCACTGACAAATGAATGGGTAAACATAATATGATATAGACACACAATGGAATATTATTCAGCCTTAAAAAGAAAGTAAATTCTGACTCATGCTACGACATGGATGAACATTGAAGACATTATGCTTAGTGAAAGAAGCTAGTCACAAAAAGACAAATATTATGATTCCATTTACATGTGGTACCTAGAGTAGTCAGATTCATAGTCACAGAAAGTAGAATGGTGGTGGCTAAGGGCCAAGGGGAGTGGGGAATGGAGAGTTATTATTTAATGGGTGGA